TAATTTAAAAGTTATAGCATGAAAACTATAACAAGCACAAAATGGTTACAAGGTCGGTCCCAGGGACTGAGCCCGTGCTTTGTAATCAACCTAAAAAAAAAGCTTTTGTGTGCTGTTATGATCATGTGTCCAAGTCTTAAACACTAGAATATAGCTTAAGTATGCCTGGTGTTGTAACTAAGACAGTCTCATTTCATCTCAAAATAAGCCTGTGCTTCAGAATTTGATTACTTGTATTGATATGTACATTGATTTTGAGTGTGAGGTAATACTATGTTATGATTCCTTTCAAGTGTGAGACAAGTAATCCTTTCAATGCACATTGACTGCACCAGCTATATGCTTATGTCTATGATAGATTCAAGCCTGTTCATATTTTGGTTTTAATAAGTTAATCATTGAAAAATAAAAGCTTTTTAATGTTTGTGGACTGCTAGTTATTCCTGAGATTATGTGACAGAAATGACATAATTAGTAAGGAAATCACAGTTACCTTTTAGGAAATACATATAACTGTTGAGGAATAGTTAATTGATATTAACAAATTTATCCTTCATAATGACATACTTTGGTTTTTAATGTCATAGATTACCATACACTGGAAATTAATTATTAATATCCAAACAATAAACAATAGTATTTAAATAAATCCTATCTTTTACATCATAAAGTACTATTTCACCTGCTGATTATATTTTGATTGCCCTATGCAAAAAATGATATGTTTTCAAACTTCTACAACAATACACCTCCTCTGGTGTCACTTTATATTTATTCTTCATGTAAGTATATTCATTAATGTCACTTCTGCTTGACAAACTTTAGGCTGTATCACAAGTTCACTGTAAGTGTACACCTCATTCTTAGTGTTATGTTTTAATAAGATATTACGACTATTGTTCTTTCTGCTTTCTAGGATCTTACTAGACATACCAGACTAAGTTTCCATGTTCTGAAGCTGGATTTAAGTCTTTGTTAAATAAAGCATTAATTTTGAATTGTTTTCATGAAATCATATTTTAATTATAACATCTAATAGAATTTTAATGAACTATATTGTAATCACAGAAGACAAACAATTTTACCTTCCTTCATTAGATGCTTGTACCACATCTTGGAAAGTGGCCATGTTTTATGCATTTCTCAGTTCAGCTGTTGTAGGATCATTTTGAGAACCTTGTACCTTTTTTATTGGTATTTAGTATTATAGCATGTAATACATCCATACTTTTTCTCTTACATAGATTGTAAACTAGTTTCTTGAAAGGTTTGGTTCCTTCACAAATGTCTTACATCAGTTCATGAGCAGGTTTTATTTTATTCTCTCTCACTCACATGAACTATCTATTAATACAAGATGTCAACTTTTAACAAAGATTTTTTTAAGTCTACTAATGAAATGTTTATACAAGATTTCTCAGTTTTGATGTCCAACCCTTCAGGAAATGGGTCTTAGATTGGAAAGTTCTTTAGACTGTGTTGAGTACTAAGTATCAGTCATCACATAGCAGGGAATCAGCTTAACTGCTCTTGTGAACTTCCTGATTTGCAATCCTTTCTGAATTTCAAGGCAGTTGAACTTGCAGTTCAAATATACATGATCAGTATTTCAGTTTTTTGTTAGCCCATTGAGGGCAGGAGGTTTGTAACCCTTGATCATTTTTTTACTTCTCAACTAAGACCCTATGTTTCTGAGTTTCAAGATGGGGAGGAGGGGAGGGTGAATGCCAGAACCTGCACCAACTACTCCGGTAAGGGAAGAAACAGTCAATCATTTTCTTCTTTCTTTTGGACTTACCTTGGCCCTTTGTGTAATTCACAAGAATTGTGTAGCTTCTGATTTTGTATCATATCCATTTAGAGTTTCTCAGTACTTGAAGAGTGGTTGATTTTTTTTATTACTGTGTGAGCATTCATACTATAGTGTCAGTTGTATTTTCAATATATTGCATCTTACATCTCCCAAGGTTACATGTGGATGACACGTCATTTCTGTTTCACCTAGAAACCTTCTTTGAGATTCATTTTCAGCTAACTTCTTAATGGTTATAGAACTTGAAGTTGAAGGTTGTCTTATATTATTCTTGTTTTTTACTTTTTGTGAGATCACAACGAGGTGACTGAGGACTATGTGGATATGAAAGTTGACAGTATATTAAAATAATAAATGTCTTTACTTTTTCTAGAGCTGTGGTAATACATTGTAGCAATATTTTTATGTTGTGTCTATTCATTCACAAGTGTTTATTTGTGGATTCTATGCTTATCGAATTCTAGATGCATGGATATTATTGACTAACTGGCTTTGTCATTCAGTTGGATTTGTGAAACTTAGTTGTTCATGAACACAGTTTCTTGTGGTTAAGTAATCTGTAATCTTCTATGTACTTTCTGTCTTGACTTCAAGAAACAATGGAAATAATCATGAATGTGGCAGTGCTTTTGATGGTCCTCAAATGATCAGCACATCTGTGGCTATTTCTGATAACCCTTTCTATTTCCTGTAGAAATGTTTCTTAACACAATCCAAATACCTTTTTTTGGTCAGTTAAAGCTTCAGAAGCCCCATCTTTGTGGGTGTCATTTTTTGCAATTTACCGCTCTTTAGTTAATAGATCACATGAGATTACCTTGTCAAGCTGTTAATCATCAGTTATACCAAGTCAACTAAAAGCTATTATAGTTTTTTCCATTGACAAAATAGATATATTGAGGAAACACATTGTAAACTCCATTTGTTACCACTTCCATGATTGAGAGCTTATTCTATCAGTTATTTTGATTTTTTGAGACAGACTGTAATGTGTTTTTGACATTTTCCAGTCTTTCAGAGTTTAAATTTCCAGGTTATGACTCACTTGAATGTGAATTTTAAACTGAATATTCTGTGTTTTGTATTGCTGGGTTTCTGTCATCATTATCCACTGTCTAGGAACATATTATTTTTAATGTTATATAAACTGTTGGAGTAAGATATATTTATGAATGTGTTTTATTTTTTATTCTAAGTATGAGCTTTTAAATCTAGCAGTAGGAAGAAGAGTCAGGTCGTGTGTCAGTTGCTGTATCCCATGTGGGCTGTATGCAGAGATGCTAACCATTCCAATTTTGTTAGAATCATTTTGGAGTTTAACTCTAGGTTATGTCATTATGATCATAATCTTTAAGTTTCAATTTTTATGTTTTACATGGGTGTATAAAACAATCTGGTAAACTTGTTATGGGATGAAATGAAACAATGACACTGACAAGATTGTAGTCATTTAAGCATTTATACTTCTGCAGCTGTAGTTAAACCAATTTTCATAAAACTGAATAAAATATTAGCCGATCTTAAGTCATGTTGATAGCTATTCCATCCATTCAGAAGTTGGAACAGCCAACATCAGTTTTATTGGAAAGATGGGAAAAGGTATCTAGAATATAGCTGAGCAATTAACTAGCTTAATGAATATAATTGATTAACTCAAAGCATTGGTTACATTGGCTAGTGTTACATAAAATAATCATTTAACTGAAATTATGATTAAATTGATTAATATCACAAAAATAAACAAATAATCTAAATTAGTGATTCTGATTATTATTATTTATCATTTTTTCAATTGTCCAAATCTCACGTGAGAATAATTGATTACTTGAATTTAATTGGTTAATGAACCTAATGATTAATTGATTATCAAATTGTACTAATCACCCAGCTCCAGTCAAACATTGTATCAGGAAAAGCATGTGAGAAAGATTTCCATACTAGAATACCACCCTTACAAAAAAAGGAAATAGACAAAAAAAAACAGTTAAGTGTATTACTTAAGCAATACACTTAAAGGTGAAAAAAAAAATCAATCGCAAAAATTGTTAGAATAAATTATGTCCCAGTGAGGAGTTCTGGCACATCACAACCTTAACATCAAAATTACACAAAATATTAGTAATACAGAAAAGAACTACAAAACAACAAATGTTTAATTGCTGAATGATACCCATCAAGTAAGCTAAAGTTGAAAATAAGAAAAACAAGCATCAAACAGAACACAACAGTTTTGAATGGCATCCCAATACAGAAGTCTTGTTAACCATGGGTGTTGCAGAAATTTAATTATACTTTACTTTGAAGACTTCAATATTGTTCATGGCAGAAAAGTGACTGTAGAAATGAAATCATTCATATATATGTTTCTGCTCAGATTCTGATTTTTGTAAAGACTGGCATTCCTATTTTACACCAGTTAAGGTTGGTATTTGTTATTACTTTTCCTGTTCTGCTTTTCACTGAGGAAGCAGACAAGGGTTGTTTGGGACATATTTTGTACATCACTTGTAGCATAGGCTATGGCTCACTGTTAACTGTTATCCCTCACACTAGTGCTGAATCTGATCATATTCTTCTTGTCTCAAGGATTTTGTGTATTCTTTCTATGTATGAATTATAACAAGACACAGCAGTTGCTTGAATCTTCCTGAAATTTCACTGAGGTTGTTATGGCATTGGATTCTGTTTTCCAAGATATATATATATATATAAGACATGGTTAGAAAAATAATCACATTTGGATAGAATATTTGACTTGGTTAGCTGAAAAATGGTTATTCTACTTTTCCTTCTTGTCTTGGTTTAGGATGAAAACAGTGTTCTGCAGCTGCCTTATGGTTATCCCTAGATTCAACTACATGTATATGTGGTGCAAGAAGGTTGATTGCGTGTTTTTGGTTTAACTATATCAGACCTATACAATAATGGGTAGTTTCAGTAAGCTAGTGGGAGATATACATATCTTTTTTCTAGAGACTGGGGATTCTAATTACTGCAAGAGGTAAGAAAAATATTAAAATGTTTAATTTAAAATTAGATGCTTCTTGTATTACTCCCCTTAACATTCTTTTTTGTGTGGATGAGCTCAAGTCTTGGATGCTTGCTTGTCACTATGGGTTGCCTGATGTGATATAACCTGCTTGATCAGTTGGTTATACTCATAAGAAGAATGCTATAGTAAACACTCGAGTTATTCATGATCTCCTGGAGAGATTTTGGTAATGTTGATACAAACTAATGTTTCATTTAGACATTATAAAGAACATACTGATGTATGGTGTTTTTTAAAACATATTTAAAAAAATATTGTACTTTAGAAGAAAGGGACATTTCTCACACTAATATAAATCTAAGTAAGTGACACTGTATTTGTGTTATATTCTAATGTGGCTGGAATGATACTGAAAATTAAGAAAAAACTTATATTTTGCAAATAAACAGGCTTATCATACCACTTACCAAAGTATAATAGTGAAACTTAGAATATATATATGTGTGTGTGTGTGTGTGTGTATATATATATTTATTTTTTTTCCTGTTTTGGCTGGTTTTTTTTAGTTTTTTTCACTTTTACAATTTATGAGTTTATAACAACACTTTGCATTAAAGGATAACTGTTATTTATTTTAAATAAGATTTGTACTTTTTATTGAGGGATAACTTGGTTTTTATAGAACTTAGTAACCCCAATCTCTCCTTATTTCTTTGGAGTGTGGGTGTAATTGGTGTAATTTCAATATGAAATTGAAAGCTAAACATAAATTCAACTTAGTACTTAAATTGATGTTAATAAAACATTTATAAAAAAAATTAAATGCTGAACCCTCTTCCTCCTCTGGCAGTACACTAAGAGCAAAATGTAAGGTTTTTCCCTAAAGTATAAAAAAAAACAACTAAGTTTTAAGCCTATCTAAATAGGCAACATTCTCAAATTAGGTTTGTTATTGAACAATAATGTGTCTAAGAGAGCATACCAACACCAGTTTCACTTAAACCATTTTAACATCATTATTACAGCTAAAAATATTTTCATATTAAGAAAACTATAACCATATACATAATGGAACCTCACTTGAAAAAACATAAAAAACTATTAATCTTTGAAACTGTTGTTTACCCTGTAAATATTGTACTAAAACCTTGTGGCAACCCATGAGGAATTCCACAGCACCTGTGTGGCACTGTAGTTAAGAAACACTGGTCTAGTTTCTATCCAAACTGTTATTCTAATTAGCTTAATGAAGCAGATTGTTGATGTCTTGTCTCAATGCCGAATGGGGTATTTTTTTTTACATGCATTTAACCCTTTCAGCATAGGCTGATACATTTTGTATCATTTTGACTGGGGAAGGACATACATGTAAAAAACATACAGTAGCTGAGCATTCCTCCCAAAATCTCGGAAGATTTTGTTAATGTATATAAGTATTTTGTACAAAAAGAATGACATTATTTTAATTACATCCTTCTAATAGTAGTTATTTGCACTCAAACTGTTAAAAATAGTTCAAATGGAAGTTGATTTTCATTTTAAGTAAAGAAAAACTTTTAATCATCTTGTAGTTTCATATTTTATTTGCATAATATCTAGAACTTCCTAAAAGGATATCAAAAGTTTTTAAGGTAAATTTTATCTTTTATTTTTCATTTTCTCTACCATATCACAAACTCTAGCTATTATAATCAACATACAATGCAGTGAAATATATAAAATTATGAAATAGAAAAAATCTTGTAGAATATCTTTAAAGATTTTCCTTTTGTTAAATTCGTTATTTCAGGTCTTTTCCTTTTCAGATATAATTAATTTTTAATGTTTTATTTTCATTTCTTGCACTTTACCACTTATTATTCATCTCGACATAAGTCGACAGCGCCCTCGAGGCATATCACAGTTTCTTTGGGAGACATGTGCAACCCTTCAGCAAAATTTTCATTCAGTGTGTAATATTGTAAGCCTTGAGAATGGATGCAAAGTATGGTGTATATTTAAAAATGTTTAAACTTTAATTATGCATTTTATAACATAACTAATACATAATTAACTAAAATATAATAGTAAGAACTAATTACAATTTAAACTGTATCTCTAAATATAACATATTTAGGTAAGAAACAATCATAAGTGCTATAGTCAGTCAAGCAGCCAACAATACTACAGTCAGTTACATATAATCCCTGACCACAACTGCATGACATTTTCAAAATAACCATTGTTAGAATATGGGTTAAAATGAGCTCTTTCTAATGAGTATACACATGTGTATGAAACATCTACATGTTGGCTATAAAGCTGAAATAAATCTGTTGAAGGTGGGCATGGCAGCTGTCAGGGGTTGAAAAAATTTATTACTTGTTTGAACTGTATTCATTCATAGAACTTTGAAATGATTGAGTCTAAAGGTAGTGTAAACTTCTTATTGTCTAGACGTACCTCTACTCAACTACCATTGTATTATTGAAAATACAGAGAGTCAAAGTAGAGAATTTTCCTAGCTTGTTGGACAATATATCTGAAGTTTTAAGTAGTTTTTAAAGGTTTATTTTAAAATAAAGGACTTAAAGCTTGGATAAAATAAAACTTTGAATCATAACATACATTATAATATTAATTTCATTCACATACATTGATACTGAAGGTGTTTAATTAAATTTTGAATGTAACACTGTGACTTGCACAGAAAAGAATTTAAAGGGGCTTCCATTGTGAAAGGGTTACAAATGTAAAAAAAAACAGCTTAATAAACTAAAAATAAACTAAGAGATAATTAGGTTTGGAGTTTGTAAAGACTGCTCAAGGTGAAAAAGGTTTGTTTGTTTCAGAAGGTTGAAAAACTTATGATTTTTTTTAATGTTAAGTAGTAATTGTGATAAAATAGTAATACAAATAAAAAAGTGAACTGTACTTGACTGACTGTCACTGTGGATTTAGCTATTACTAAACAGTTAAGACAGTTAGTTAAGTAGTAATAGATTTTTCTGGGCCAGCTGAAACACTGCTCCTCCATCTGTTTGGTAATGGTGTGATATCATAAATAGTTTTGTATGTTTAAAGCATAATGACTTGCTTAATGATGATTTTTCAATACATTAATTCTATGTTAATTAATAGTGTTCTTAAGTCTGGCTACACAATTTTACTATTCTATTTGAAGATGAGAAGCTAATCTGCTAAAACACTGTGTTACAGGTGTGTGTTATGTATTTAACTACTCAGCTTAAGAGGTTTTTGTGCTTTCAGAATTTCAATCATGAACTGTATTTGGGCTCCAACCCAAATAATTTTGTTTCTGTTAGTGTTACTGCAAAAATAATTTTCTCTTTTTTATTTGTAATTTATCTTGATATCAACTATAGTATCACTTGGTGTTTTTCAGTATCTCCAGCAAACTGACATCTGGTAAGAAGGTACTTCTACAAAACTTGAAGGATCTAGAAACAAAGTTTAAACAGATGAATTCAGAGCCAACACCTGAACTTCTTGATGTGAGAGTTAGCAAGGGAAAAACAAATAGTGAACATCCTCACTTTGTTCCTATGGGAACACGTTTAGGTAAGTAAATTTGAATTAAAATATGAAAGAAAACTTAACTCCACATTTACATGTGCAAATATAACAGTAAGTAATAGATTTATATGGATTTCCTGCAGATGTGTTCATTTAATAAACTTAATGTACTTTGTCGTATGTAAACATGTCTAATTAATATCAGTTTGTATTCATTGTGAACATACCCAGGACTTTCATTCAGTTTATCACCATCCACATTATTATGAATTTTTGAATTTGAATCTGACAAGTATAAATCAACCTATTTTTTAATTAAGTCCTAAAACAACAATGACAGTGTTAAAACTAAATCAAGATATTTTTATTATATAAATAAAATTTCAGTTACTGAAAATTTGGTTTAAACTTATTAGATTTAGCAAGACTTATTTAAATTGTTAATTTTGATTAAAAAATATTTTCAATATATCTAGCACTTAACAGTAGTTTTCTTGTAAAAAAACATTGAGTGAATTCCAAAGGAGTTTTGTCTGGCTGTCTTATCAAATCACATAAATCTAAAATTCTGTTATTCAAGTTAGAAAAATAAGTGTTTTCACTACAGTCTTGCGGATGGAAATAAAAGTAAATATGATTTTGACTACCAATAAATAATATTTAACTATATTGACTTTCAAATGAAAACACGATCAATATGATATCCAAATATAACAGGCATTGTACTTGCAAATTGTTAGAGAATGACAATAGCTTGAATGGACTGGCAGAGAAATTGATCTAGTTAGCATAGATAATCAGTACCTCAAGTGTAATAATTAACTTCAGGCTTTTTTACATTTGAGTCATGTCTAAGTGAATATACAGAAAGTAGAGTTTGTTCCCATGGCAGGGTATGTAAGTAGAAAGCTAGATACATATTTCTAGGTAAACAAAATTTCACCTTATTTTATTACATGTTACAGATTTTACTGTAACAAAGATTTGTATTAAGAATAGGTACAATGTTTTGATCAGTGATGCGATTATTCTCAAGTACACAAGTTTAACAGTAAAGAATGATTTAGTATTTAAATTAACAATCTGACAATGTATTTAAATTCTAGAATTCATAATGGTTACTTATGCATGTACATATCAATCTACGTGAATTGACAGGTTATTTATTTATGGTTAAAAGAACAAAAAACAAAAGTGAAATATATAAATACTAAATCGTTCTTTACCATTAAACCTTGTGAACTTGAGAATGATCACACCAGTGATCAAAATGTTGTACCTGTTCTAAACACGAATCTTATTTACTGTAAAAACTGTAACTTTTTATAAAATATAATCAATCACAAAGTAAACTAAAATCAAAACAAAAAATTTCAGCCTGCTTTTATAATTACTGGATGCATATGTCTTTGTGAATAGTACAGTTTATCTTTATTTGAACTTCTTTAATTGAATGATTCAAGTGTCCCTGGAGTAAAAGCTTTTAACTGAACTTTCTTCTGAACTTGCTTATCATTGTTTTTTCTACTTATCATTGTCTGTTCTATTTAACAGTAGAGCAGAAGGCTGAACATGATACAATGAACCTAAGTTTTATGTTGCATTTGTAATGACAATCTGAACACATTTACATTTTTTAGTATATTCTTACTTCATTTTTACAATTTATTTTTGTATTTTTCTGTTTTCAGATGCAAGTCTTCTACATTTGACTACTGATGATGTTAGTTACTCGGAGATGGAATCAGAGAGGAGAGTGAAAGATAACTTCTGGTCATTTTTACCTCAAATTAGTATTCAACCACTTTTGAAAGCAACAGAAAACACAAGGTAATTATGATTTAATATCCTTCTTTGAATTTTCTTAAATATAGATATGAAGCAACTTTGGAGTTGTTGTTGAGTTAATTGAATGAAACTTTACACTTCACCTAAATAGTTATCACAAACTAGCTGCATCTGTAGTTAACATTACTCTTTCTTTGGTTTGATGCTGCAATTTTCCCTTAGAGGTTTGTGTTCTGAGGATAAAAATCAACTCAATACCATTTCTTGAAGTTTAGTCTTGCAGAAATACAGTTGAAGGATGTGTATTCCAGTGCTAGAAACAATTGTTTGTAAAGGGAAACTAGCCTTGAATATTTTAGATACACTGTAGAAAATCACTGTGAGAACATTTGTTACTGATTTTGTATTTTATATTTCTACAATGCTGATTAGGTGACTTAAAAGAAAAAAAAAGAACATTTGCTAGTGCTTTAACATATCTAAAATGATATAGACAGTGTTTTTGTCAAATTGTTGACCCCTCTCCCAAGAAATTCTTATATTTTTATTTTTTTTAAATTTAGCACATAAGAAATTATGTAGAGAATGAAATTATATACAACTATAAGTAGAACAGTTACTGGTGAAATCATGTTGTAGTTTAAATCTAGCAAACTGAAACATTGCTTTGTAATTTTACTAACATTTGCACAATTACAATCAAATAAAAGTTATGTACGTAATGTATGTTATTAGAGCAGTACTTAAAAAGCACTTGAGTTTTATACAGAAAATATAAGAAACATGACATTCTGAAGTAGATAATATCTAACTGCAGGTTGTGTTTAAATTGAGTAATGATGATATTTTCTTAAACACATGATCTTATTTTGTAACTATAACCGTTAATTTCTCCTAGGAATGTAATAACTATGACCAAGCTGTAATAACCTATAGTTTTTTAAAACTATATAATATGAATAATTCTTTGTTGTAATATAAGTGTAAAACAGAAGTGTTCAACCTGGTTGATTGCTTGGTCCACATGTAAGTTTAAATTACTAAGGTTAATCTGGCCATTTAATATAACATTTATGTTATATGATGTAATTCCTCTAAATTTTACCCTTATATTTTCATATCTTGTTGGTTTTATTTTTTTCAAGCCTTCAACTACAAGACCCAAAAATCCTGTTTGATGAGAAAAATAGATCATTGGCACTAGATAAATGGGTTTCAGTGCTTCATCAGACTCAGATTCAAGTACTTTTTCTAGTTTGTGCTTTAAAGCAAGCCTGTGGTAAACAAGCTCATCAAAAAACTGTCAATGGAGTACAACATGATGAGACTGATAATACAAGTTTTGTGAATTATGTGCCTACAAAGGACACTGTACCTTCTGTTACTTTGGGTTTGGATGAGAGTTCACATTCAAACCATGAAAACATTCCCAGCCAACTTCAAGAACATTTGTTGCACAATACATATGCACAGTTTGCTTTTACAGATTCACAGTTATCTGAATTTCTTAAGCACTCCAACATTTCTGATATTTCCAGCAGATTGTCAAAAATATCTGACATACAAAAAGTAGTGTTTGTAGATGATCCTTTTTTGTTGGATGATAAAGAGCACAATGCAGTATCTGAATTAGTTATGTTATGTTTGGAGACACAAATACTGGGTGATACTAATGTAATTCAACTTGAAATGTCTAATTCATTCATTCCATTGAAACCAGTGTTTACTGAAAAGTTAAAGGAAGACTTGAAACCAGACAGTTTTCAATGTGCTTCTGCATCTTGTGTTTCATCTCATGAATTAACCATTCAGGTACAAGTTGAAATGGACTTTCAAAAACCTGTTGATACAGTTGATAAAATTATGAGACCAGGTTTGGAAGATGTAGATAATATTTCTTCAAGTAAACATTATATACAAACCATTCCAGATGATATAAAATCATCATCTCTGAAGAAGTACCTACTTCAGGATTCTCAGTCTTTTTTGCAAGAAGAAAAGCAACAGTCTTGTCAAGAACAAATGACAGGAGGTGTTTCAGGTGATGATGTACCAGAAATGGTATCCGAAAATGGACCTTGCTTATCTCAGCAAGTTGTACCAGGCACATTCCATGTACCTCAGGAAAAATGCATTCCATTAATTAGTGATAATCAGCATGATGACAACGAATCTATTATTATACCTGCATATAGTGATACCCAAACTAAAATGCCTCACGAGGAGAAAATTAAGAAAAGACAAAGTTTGCAGAATGATAAGAGTGATACCCATTATAGTATATCATCATCATCAGACAGTTATGTGAATAAGCAAGTTAGGGAATTGGGACATGGCCAACAGGAGGATGGACTGGTTTTTGAAAATTTTGACCTTCATTTAGAGAATAAAGATGATTTAAAGATGGCTTCTTTCATTCAAAACTATTTTCATTTTTTGAATCATCAAAAAGTTTTACAGCTTATAAATTCAGTGGATGCACTTAGGTTGTATTCATGGACAATGCTCATTAGTGGAGCCAAAGAAAGAAGTAAGAAAAATGATTTTTTTCAAAAATTACAAATAGGACAGGTTTCAGCTGCTATTAATTGTATAGAAACTAAGGAGTGGAGTACTGTGGATCTTATAGCTGCTTTAAAGGAGTGAGTATGCATGATTTTACCTAATAGAAACCAGAAAGTATATTTTTCATAAAAATACTGTCTAAAATTTACGAAGATGGGACATTAAGTATAACTCACATCAAAACTGCATGAAAAAATTTCTATCAGGCTAAAGCATTTTCTTTGTTTTGTGGAAATACAATGTCTTAGAGATTTATATGATAAATGAAGTTTTACAAAAAAGTTACAAAAAAAAACGACTTTTACTCTCCAGATAATGGTAAAAAAGAAATTTCAGCCAATGTTTGACCATTGTGGCTTCATCAGGGCTTGTAATACAAGAACTGTTTGATGTGAAAATATGCATTAACATCAAACAGCTCTTGTACCACTAATGAATCTATAATGGCAAAACATTGGCTGACATAAAAAATGTTGTTAATTATTATCTAGAAAGTAACGGTGATTTTTTTTAACATTTTTGTTAAAATGTCTAAATCTTTCCAGTTTGTACAAGAAATTCTGAAAAATGAATCTCTTAGTGGAAAGTACCAAAAATAAATTATTATGAAACAAATGAAGATTTTAAACTAGTTTGACAGGAGTTTATCAATACAAAATTGTTTTAAGTTTCAGCCTCAAATTTAAAAAGTGACATTCACCTAAGAAAAACAGTATTTGGTAAAGGTTTACAGTTATTAAGATATTGTCTTATGATTTAGCATTAGAAATGAGGCTTGTAGTTATTCACTAAGAAATAAATGGCATTACTTGGATTTTTCTGCACTTCTTTACAATCTCTATCTTGCATTACTGATTTCCAGCATAATGAAGCAAAGTACGAAGTATTACGTGTATCTATTTGTTTACCTGAATATCAAATTAGTATAAATTGGTACATATATTAATAGGTTTTGAATCTGCACTGATATTTATTATAAAGTTTTTGAAATATAAAATCTTGCTAGTGTGCTATAAATTTAGCTACATAATAATTCATAAAATCTTTCAATAGTTCTTAACCCTTTTGAAATGAGTAGGTCAAAGTGTGCATGTTGCAACCTTTCACAGGGTTACATTCAAAATATAATTAAAATTACTTTATTATCAATGTATAGGAATAAACATGGAATTAAAATGTACTTAATAAAACAAGTTTTAATATTATGTAAGTTTTAATTTTATAAGCAAATATCTAAAGAAATCCTCAATCTTTTCTAGAGTGAGAACTTTTAAATTTGCTCTCTAGGTCTTACCTCTTCTCTAATTCATTTACCACCTCTTCAAGAAGTACAGAACTTAATGCAAAATGCTCATTATAATATAGGTGTTACTCATAGAAAGTATAATTGTCAAAACATTTAGTCTTATTTGTTTAAGGAGCACTAAACTAGAAATCAGACTCACTTGCCACATCCTCTCTTTCACAAATTGACAATAGTTCTCTCTTATGTTTTATCCTATATTATTTATAACCAATAGAAAGTTAAAGTTTTAATCTATCAAATGATGTATTATATTACATTGTTTTCTGTACAAGATATAGTGCTAATTTTGCAATTTAGTTTCAAATTAGTTTCACTGCAATCACATCGATGAGTTTAGCTGAATTGTTAAAGGCTCTTATCACATAACTAGAAAGCCAAAAAAATGGCATCAGTATCAACCTATTAGGGGGTGGGAGGTCAGCGGGAGTGAGGTTACAACTATTGATGGACACCTGGTATTCCTTCACTACAGATCCATGGGCACTTTGGGTTCTGGTATCGAGGTTGGTCTTTCTACTCCATTTTCCACCTACATTATCCTCTCACCCTGTGGTATTTCCACCTCCACCTGACCAGTGGGGTATGGATTTTCGTTTCATGGCCTTCAGAGTTACTGATCATGGGGGTGGTAGTAACAGTTGATCCCTTTCTTCTGGGATTATATTCCTGTCTATTTGTTGTGCCTCAGACAAGGAGAGATTTGCAGACTATTGTCTTTCTCATCTCAAACCATTCTTTGTTTCTCCACAGTCCACAATGGAGTCCTTTCTCACCCTACATTGGCATTCTTCACCAGGTCCATGGATGCCTAAGTTTGTGGTTGCTGAGATATTTCTCCACATTTTCATAGTGAATTCATCTTGCCCCTAGCTATGTTTTGTATACAGGGTTCAGGTTCTGCAGTTCAGGAATTGAATCTTTTGTCTAGCATCAGCACCATATGTCTTCCACTAGGTTATACAAGTTTCCACCATGTTTTACCTCCAGCTCAGGCCCCCCCCCCCCACCACCACACACACGCACCGACGCGTCGTCGTCGTCGTACGTACGTACGTACGTA